AAGTGCATTTTTTGTAAGAGACTGAGAGTCCACTTTGTTAAAAATTCTTTTAAAAATGAAAGTTTGATTTATTACACTTACATATTATGCTTTTATAATTATTAGTTGTAAAACGGTCAGCAGGCAATATTATCGTTTATCGCAATAAATTTTGAGACAATTAATCGCCCAGCAAAATTTGTTATCGTGACAGGCCTATGTGACCCTCCCAGCCCGATGGTGATGCCAGGTTAAAGATCGGTTTTGTTGTCTTGTGCTTTCAATGTACTCAGCCTGCTCGTTGGAAACTGAGACAATACCAACAAGTGTTTTGCAGTGCGTGCGCAAAATAGATAAGTCCTTGCCGTCCATTGTAGCATCCTGCAGAGAGTGAAGGGAACGTGGCACAGTGAATGGTTGCACATGGTCAACAAATTCTCCACAATATTCAGGCAAACAGGACAGCACAGCAGCTTGTGGTGGTGCCTCGTGAATTGCACTGAAAAAGGAGTCTAGCTGCTCCTTTGACACAGTCCCAGCTGCTCTTGTCCGTGTAGTCCTGATACCAGGTGATGCTACAGATCCTTCTTCCAAAATTTTGTTCAGAGATTTTCTCTTTGCTTTTGGACTTGTAAAGTCAATTTAATATCCTGGTTCTGGTTCCACTTTAGACAGATTCCCTGGAACCATGCAGGTCTGCCTGTCACTGTCTCTCTGCATCTGACAACTACCTCCACCTTATTGTAAAAACATTTTGTGCATAACTTCAGGTATTTGCAAGTGTGTGTTCAAATGTACAAACAACTATTATTAAGTTATGAATAGAAAATAAAAGTACACATGCACAAATATAATTTATACAAACGTTAAAATTTCACACACAAATTTTTAACCTTCAACCTCACAAATCTGATAATTATACATTCAAACTAGCTTCTACGCACACAAGTCTTTAAATACACACAGACAAAACTACATTTACACACAAATCATTTTGAGACTGTTTTCACGCTGCCGAGAGCTCCCAGATTCGTGCGTAAATGATGCGTTTACATCAGGGGTGTCCAAACATTTTGTCACATGGGCCAAAATCATAAAGTCAGAAGGACTTGAGGGCCAGAATGTCAGGATCTGTGTTTATTTTCTTAGTTTTCTAGTGTTTTCAGTGTTCCCCTGTGTTTCTCAGCCCAGCTGCCCCTCATCTCCTTGATTGTCACCCTTGTGTTTCTCCCCAGGTGTGTTCTGTTTAGTAATTAGTTTTCTGTGTATTTAAGCCCTGTCCTGTCTCTGTCTTTTGTCGGATCATTGTCGTGTTTTTGTTTGTCTGTCCTGGTTCCTTGTGCTTTGTTCCCCTCGTGCCTGATGATCTACATCTTGTAAGTTTGCTGCCAGCAGCCCTCTTTTTGTTGATTATTAAACCTTTTTGTTACATTTTGAAACCTTGCCTGCGCCCTGGATCTGTTCCTGTCTAAACCTCACAAGAAATATTTTTTCCTTTACCTGCTCACCAATAAACTGAGCATTGAATACTTTAATTAAACAAATAATATAGTCAGATTTATTGCTGGAAATGGATGCATAAATTAATTTAGATCCAAAACTTTAAAAGTGTTTTGCAGGTTTTCCTTATAGATAGAAATTTTGCAATTTTCTTGGTTTTAGTTGGGGGAAAAAACCCAAACTTAGTCAATTTTGATAAATAAAATCAGGATTTAGGTCACTGTTTCATTGAAAAATGCTTGCTATATTCAGACAAATTTAATAAACCAATTAAAAGGAGTGTAGCAAAATCAGCTTTTGAGTAGAAGTCACCAAATAGATGTGGAAAAATAAGAGCCTGGTTATTTAAAGACAAATAATTGGTATTGTTGCCAATATTTTTTATTGTTAGATTTTACTTTGTGATAAATTTGCCGAAATAATAAACAGAAAGTCTCCATCAAACAGCTGTGCCAGGAGGACACATTTGTAAAGAAATATAATTCCTGAACTGAAGTCAGGGGCCACACAAAATCAATTCAGGGGCCACAAAAGGCCCCCGGGCCACACTTTGGACATCCCTGGTTTCCATGCTGCAAAAAAGCTGGGAAATTTGAACTTCCTTCAGACCTTGTTTCTTCCCTTACTTGTGCTGAAGTGGTAAATACTTTAAGAGGAAAAAAAGAAAGAACAATAGCTCAACATCCCTTAGTTCTACTTTTTAATTTTCTAAGATTGTTTATAAACGTATGTTTGTGTGTATTTGATCTGTACAAATGTAATTACACGGTTAAAATAATTAACCACTAGATGGTGCTGTAACGCTTCTATTGATGTTTGGGAAAACCAGGAGAATTGAGCTGGACGGCAATGGCGGGGCAAGGTTTACCTTCAGAAGTAAGTAGCACTTCACACTTTGTTATCATATAAAGTTAGATTTTATAGAACAAATGCCTCTCTATTTTGCTTTCGTTTGCTATTATGAGTATTTTTTTGTTCTTGTTGATAATTTCAGATTAAGTTTTCTTTGTCAAGTGGTTTGATACATCGTGCTCCGTTAGCCAGAGCTAAGTCGCGGAGCGTATCGATCGATCCTAGAGTTACTCGGTCAATACTTTACTTCCTCCTCGTTGCTTCGTTCCGAAAATAAAAAGCTTCAGCGGAGCATCCGGTCAGAGGCAGGCTCAGATATAAACACTGAACTAAACAAGCACGTCGTCAGGTAATTATTTAATCCGCTCTGAGATTAAACAACAACTTCAGATTCGACGTGCAAAAAAAAAGTAGCATCCATGCTAAGACGAAACAAGCCGTGTTGTGGATGAACGGAGTAACATGACATTTATTAGGAATGAAGACGTCTGAGTTCTGGTGCATTTCTGTGCGGGGGTCATTTTTTACCACAACAATCACTTTATGGCACAACACCCGACAAGCTGCGCTGCCCAGTGTTGCCAGATGGGAAATATTGAATTGTCGCATCAGCAGCTCAAAATTATCGTGTTTTGAGGAAAATTATCTGCTCAAATTTACAAATACATGCTGCTCAGCTCACAATGTGCTCTGTATTCAACAAACTGCACTTTCTTTTGTTTATAATAAAGTTAAAAAGCACTGTTGGGTGTCTGTTTTTTTTTAAACAAAAGCTTTGTTGTAAACAAGAACAAAACATGGAGTCTGGGGAAATGCTGCATATAAAAAGAAATGTTAGATAAAATGACTAGAATAAAATGTAAATTATAGGCAAAKTTAAAATAAAATCAGGAAAAGAACAAATCATTGTAGTTTATTGTACTTTTGATTAGTCAAGAAATAAATTGAGTACATACTGAGCAAATTTAATCTGCAAGCCTCCAAAATCTGTTTTTTTTTTCTTTTAAAAATTAGCTTCTGGATGATACCTGGATGTTTATTAAATGTAAATGTTGCTTATACTCCTCACCTTCTCAGTCCCACCTTTTCTTTTTGATTTTACAGTTATTATTTCTTTCACACAAGTACTATTATACTTATCTTTGCTGCTAGTAGTACAGTACTCACAGCTTTGTGTTAACCAATGATTGTAAAATGTTCTGACAGTAACTGGTGCTTTGTTTCTGCCTCAGGTGCTGAACGCTGAGCGCGTCCAGGCATTTGAAGACTGGCTAAAAAGCAGCAAAATCAATCTAAGACAAGTGAACGGTCAAAGAAAATACGGAGGACCACCTGAAGGTAACGTACAGTGACATGGATTCAGATAACAATTAGGGATTCAACTGATTATTTTAATAATGGATTAATTGGTTGATTATTTTTTGATTAATTGATCTTTATCAATTCGTTGTTGGAGCCCTAATAATAAGAAATAATAATAATGATAACTAGACACCACATTTCAGTAGCGTACAGTGTCAAAGAAAAGTATTTAGTCAGCCAAAAATTGTTCAAGTTCACCACTAAAAAGATGAGAGAGGCCTGTAAATGACATCATAGTTAGACCTCAACTATGAGAGATAAAATGAAAAAACATATCTAGAAAATCACATGATTTTTAAATAATTTATTTGCAAATTATTGTGGAAAATACATACAGTGGGGAAAATAAGTATTTAGTCAGTCACCAATTGTGCAAGTTCTCCCACTTAAAAAGATGAGAGA